AGGATACGGTTGATTTCTGGTGAACCCTTATATAATCAGTATCGCTATAAAAACAAATTTCATTTCTTGTATTGGTGAGATTTGAGTTATTAAAACAATTATAGTAAACTAAAGTATTATCTGATTATCGTTTAATTACTTTCCTTTTTTAACATAGATAGCATTACAAAATTTCTCATTCAATAGATATCTAGTTGAAAAAGAAGCAAAGTTTTGAATAGGGTGTTCCTTAAAAATCATGAAATTTTCAGAGATATCATCAGATGAAGATAAATAAGTTGAATAATTGTAATCAACTTTCCTAATTATTCTGATTGATTGAAGACCTTGATATCACTAGCTAGATTTCTATTAGAGAAATAGTTTAATATGAACAATAGTTTACAGAAATTTTTTTGAAAGGTTTTAGACATAAAAACACTAGCATTCCATTTGCTAATATTTACTATTCTAATATGCTGATGAGGGAACCTCTCCAACGGTCAAATCGCTTTTCGATCGAGACAATGTTGAGCTGACGAGTACTAGTGAGTAACAGAAAAGTCTAGAATGGTTTTGTTTTCTGAACTTTTGTTCTTGACATATCGAATCTTTACTGAATTTTTCACGTAATCTGAAAGGGGTACTACAGCTTTTTGTTGAAAAACTTGTAAAATTTAAATATGTAAAGAACAAAAGCCTGAAAAATCAAACCATTGTAATACTCGTTATATGATCATCACCTTGATTGAAAAACGATTTTACAAGTGGAGAGGTTTGTTCGTAAATTTTACTTTATCAACAAGCCTTGTTTCCTTAATTCATTGCAATAAATTCTGTATTAAATTAACAATTATTACTATGAAAAAAAAAGATTGTTTTATTGAATATCAAAAAATATCTGATTGTCTATTTTTTTTGTCTACTTCGATACAAATAAGAACGAAGAAAAACTGATGTCATAAGTTCTACAATACATATGTACACATACATAATCAATACAGAGAGAGAGAATTAATCACTATAGAATACTTTCATGAATTTCTCCATTGAAATAAGATTCTTTTTAAATATATTTTCATTTTGAATGACTGGTGGACGCATCATTTTAGGAGTCGGATAGAGTATTGATGATTGATTTAATAATGTTGCTCGGCGTGTTTGTGGTCCAGTCGATTGTTTAGGTGTTGATCGTACTTGTTGTCGATATTTTTCATCTTCAGCTGATGTTTTATTAAATACACGTTTATAAACATATTCAATGGCATCTGTAAATAATTTATTCGATTGTAACATCTATTTAAAAAGAAGAAGAACAATGAAATAAAACATCAAAAAACAAACAAAAACATTTTTACTTTTCGAGCATATTCATCGTTGACAATAGATTCTAGTACTGAACAAATTTGTTCAAATAGTTCACTACGATTTTTTTGATAATATTTAAGTAAAAGCATAATAAAATCTTTTATTTGTTCTTATTTGTCAATTAATGGCATAATAAGACCACGTTTAACAGTAAATAATTGTAAAATACTTAATACTTTACTAAGTAGAACAGCTGATGGTCCACTTCGATTACAACATCTCATTAATATAAAAAATAATCGTAATAAACCTTGTTGAGCTATTAAATAACGTATTTCAAGACAACATGCAACAATAGGTTCAACATCACGTAGAAAATGTAAATAAGCAGTAAGAGATGATGATGAAGCTTCAGAATATTCTTGTACAATTTGCATCATACGTTCACGTAATGTTAATGATGAACTATTCGTTGGATCATGTGCACGAATTTTTTCGAGGATAGCAACAACTGGATGATTATTACGTTGGTTTTCAGTACGAACTTGATGACCACGCCAATGAGCCTAAAAAAGTAAAACGAAAAAAGTTTCATTATCTAGTTTATTCACTTATATAGTTTCCAGGAACCATCTATAAAGAAAGCCTATGGAATGGGGAGGAAGGCAGTCAAAATAGAACAAGAGGTATAAAGGCGTCAGATCAAGAGGAAAACAACGTGACTCCACTACTTCAAAATATCAGTAAAGACTTGAAGTTACACTTTCTCTTGCTTTTGAGACCGGACATACCTAGAGTTTTGAAAAGAACTACTTATCAAAATTCTATGACGCATCAAAAATAAATAGTATATGTGAAAAAATAGACTCTTTCTAGAGAAAAATTGAGAACTGAACATTCAAAAAAAGAGAGAGATAAAAAATGCGATCCTTATCTGGACATTCTTCATGGATGGTCTTCTATAAAAAATTTCTGATTAATACTAGTCACACTTATTCGTATATACAATAAAGTACCTGAACAATTTGGGCTGCATGTAATTCACGTTCAGCTTCTGATTTGACTACAACATCAGATTGTTGTTCGTTTTGTGTTTGTCCAAGAGATTCATTATTATATGCAAGAGATTCTTCATGTTCAAGTGTTTGCTGTTGATGTGCTAAGAATAATGTTAATGTTTCTTTAATCATTTTTGTATTAACTGGATCAGCAAATGAAGCCTATACAAAAAATAAGAAAAAATTTGTATTAGAGAAGATTTCTATTAGGTTTTGTTCTGTTTACATCATCCATTTTAGTCATTTCAATGCTATCAGCTTCAGATGGTGTTGTTTCATCAATGAGAAATAAAGATGTATTATCCGAATGAATTTTTGTTCCGTCGTTTTCAATTGTTTTTTCTAATTCAACAAAATCATGGAATGATTGTGTAGTTGTTTGTGCTACAATTGATGTACGACGTAGACCCATTGTTGTTGTTAAACCTGAACGTGCTGAATTAAATGAATCTTCATCTTCATCTTCAGCTTCAATATCACTTTCATCATTTATTTCTGGTAATGTTTCAAGATGATCAAGAATATCATTATTCATTGTATGAAGAACTGATTGAGTAAGTGATGATTGTGTTCGTGGTGGTGTTTGACAAGCAAACATTGTTTCAAGTGAAGCATATAAAGAGTCAGATAATGTTTGATCATAGACTTGAACTTTTTTTGAACTTTTCTTTTAATAAAAAAGAAAAGTTCGATGAATTTAATCAATTGAAAATAATATTCTTTTCATAAATATTTTTTGTAAAAAAAAAAACGAAAAAAAAGTTTAGATTTACCTTGAAACATATATTTACTTTCGAATCTGTTCAAATATAACATTAATTATTATTATTTCTTAGTAGTGTTTTGTTTTTGTTGTTGTTGTTTAACAATAAAACAATAATCTATATTGACATTCTTATTTTGAATCTATTTGAAAATATTATATTTATCTATTGACGAGACAATTATATTAATATAAAACATATTCGATTATTAAATAGTCTAGTTTTATTGATTTTTCATCATTTTAAATCTGAATGTTGAATAATTAAATTTCTATAAATTTTTGCTTCAATGTTGAACAACAACTTCTCAAGATTTTTATCATTATTTCTATCGATAGAAAAGTTAAAATGATTTTCGTTAAATGCTCTATGATTGCTTTATTTAATGTTTTATGTTCTGATAAAATATTCTTAATAGAGTTAATTGATCATCGACAAATTGATTATTAATATTTATTTTAAATGTAAATATCATCTTAAATGAATATTCAAAGATTATTCGATTTGGAATTTATCTTTTTTTAAAGACATTAAACGTCTCTATTTTGACATAGTCGAACATTTTCGAAAAACTATTTTTTTTTTAATCGAGTCAATTTACTTCCTTATATAATTAGTTAAAAAATCTAATTTAGCTGAATGATTCTAGTTCAATATAATAAATTTATTTGAATAAAATATCTTCAATGATAATTATTTGTACGATATTATATAATAGATAATTTATTTCGATGATGATTACTATTTATACATATATTACAAACCATGTTTATGAAGAATAATAATTCATCGATATTTATTGAAATTTCAATGTTATTGATTAACTAGAATTAAGTTCTATGATGATCTTTGATATAAGATAAGTAGTTCTAAGGAAACTAAACTGAGATAGATTGGAAAAAAAAACAATGTATCTTATCTCGTAAGACAATAATCTTAATCTATTGAATAGATATTGAGAATAAAAAATAGTTCGATAAAAATAAATCGAAATAAATAATCTAGATAATATTTATTTTTTTTTGTACAATTTCGAATAAATAATAGAATTATACGGATTTAAATCGTTATCATTTTAAAACAAATATTCATATGATTAGGCTTTTTTTTTAATCATGTCATATTGAATTAACTCTTAAGAAATATCTTCAACTTATATACTAGATTTATTTATTTCATATAATATACGATCGAAGAAAAAAACAAAGAGGCTAGTTATTGACATTATTGCTTAATGAACAAGTCAAATATTGAAAGTAGAAGGCATCTATTTACTCTTTATCGAATATGAATAATTTCGATCTCGAGATATAATTCATTTATTTATATTTATACCTTATAAAATATAATCATAATTAATCTATTAATTGTCAAGAGATTAATTAGACCATTGATTTAATATATTCATATATGCACACTTGATTATACATTACAATAAAATCATCTTATATTATTCTTTTCTTATGTAAAAAGAGAGCAAAACAAATCAATTTTGTTTTTGTCTACTTTTATATAGAATTATTATTGAGAACAAAAAACGAATGATCAATTAATTATTTTTATTTATATTAATAAAACGAAAACTGCTTATTTTTGATAAATTTATTATAAGTAAAATAATAAAAATCTAATAAATATAATTTATAGAATTTAATATTAATTAAATAAGTTGTTAATTAATGATAATAATATATATTATTTAAGATATACCAATAATCAATTATTAAAGTTAACAAGAATAATCGAAAATAAAACATTTTATTTAAAGAAAAATTCAAATTTTATTAAGCAAATATTAGAAACAAAAAAATTGTCTACTATTATTTAAAATATCTGATGAATAATTCTTGATAAAATCTCTAGAACGATTATATTTTCAAAAACAAAAAAATCTTTATTAGAATCAAATTGATATATTTATCTATGATAATTAATTAAATAATCGAATTAAACTCACTAGAAAATATATATTTGTTTTATTTGTTCGTTTTTTTTATCGATTTAACCATCAATAATACAATATATTATATTAATATTAATATTAATATTGTTGACTGATAATAAAATAATTGAAAATAATCTACTTAATTAATGATTATTCATTTGTTTTTTGTTTATAATAAATGATATAAGAATCAGAGAATAAAAACCAAAACAAAACAGAAATTTTTCCTATGAATATGTTTTAATAATATACTATATTATATATATAATAAAGACAAATTCTATCTAATATAATTATCTTCAATTGATTATTTTATCTTATTGTTATTAATGAAGATAAAACTGTATCTATCTATCTATCTATTATAAACAAATGTCGACTATATTCAATAATACAAATAACATCATTTATTTCCTCGACTGAAAGGAGAGTCATACGAAATAAAATAGTTTGCTTGATTGTTTGTTTGTTTGCTTGATTGGGGTCAAAAAAAACATACAAGTGGCGTCAGCTTATTTTAAGACTTTTGGCCATTTTGATGAAACTTTGCTATAGATTATCGAGGGCCCTGAATCCGAATCCGAAGCCCATTTTTCTGGCCGACATTTCATTGGTTAGGAATCGGCCAATCAGAAATGAACTTTTTTATTTTAAGACTTTTGGTCATTTTGATCAAACTTTGCTATAGGTTATCGAGAACCCTGAATCCGAATCCGAAGCCCATTTTTTTGGCCGAGATTTCATTGGTCAGGAATCGGTCAATCAGAAATGAGCTTTTTTATTTTAAGACTTTTGACCGTTTTGATGAAACTTTGCTATAGGTTATCGAGGGCCCTGAATCCGAATCCGAAGCCCATTTTTTGGGGCGAGATTTCATTGGTCAGGAATCGGCGAATCAGAAATGAGCGTTTTTATTTTAAGACTTTTGGCCATTTTGATGAAACTTTGGTATTCCCTCGACTGAAGGAAGGGTCATATGAAAAAAAAGAGTTTGCTTGCTTGCTTGCTTGTCATCAGGCCAAAAGAACATCAGGGTTAAAAGAACCTCGGGGTCAAAAAAACTTACGCTTATGGAAGTTTGCGCTTTGAGGCTTTCGACCAATCACGTTATTCAGCCCATAGTTTCAGCCAATGAGATGTTTTCGATATCGGGCTTTCGACCAATCAGATAAAGTTCTTTCCTCTAAACGTTGACAAAAGTAAATCGGGGTCGAAGAATCCGAATCTGAAGTCAGTTTTTCAAAATTTTGAATTGAAAATTTTTGGGTGAAGGAAAGGATTTTTTGAGAAAATAACGATATTTTATAAAGGTTGACGAAAGCAAACCCAGGTCGGAGAACCCGAATCTCAAGTCAGCTGTTCAAAAACTCAAGTAGGTTTTTGTATGAGATAAATCATCCTTTTTTATCTGAATTATTGTCTAAGGAAAAAGTCAATTTTTTTAAAGCAAAAGGCATTTGAAAAAATGGAAACCCAAAATATGGACAATCCTTCTGCGTATTTGGAGTTTGTAATTGCTGTTTAGTTTCGGTAGCCTCTTCATAATTAGTATCGTTGTAGACATGAATCAGAGTGTGATCTAATGGGTTGAGTGTTTCAGTAAGTCGTAGTGTGATGAACCAGTGTTTACAAACCATTGGCACTCAGTCTAATGTGTGCAACATTGTGGGATTCATGATTATTCATAGTGGTTTGTGAGTTAAGTGGCCTGTTTTGAGTGCACTCTGCTTAAGTCGAGAGAAGTAGCATTAAAAGAATCCTGTAAATGAAGTTACGGCCTGTAGGATAAATGCTGAATAACCAATGATTGTTTTAATGTATTCCAAGAATGCAACAAGGGACTATGAGCAAGGCCTGAGAGAAGTGTTGGCGAACTAGTGGTCGCTAAAATTGCGAACGTATTCTAATGTTGTTTAGCAAAAGATCTACATGAAACCTGCATTTATCAAGAATAATCAACTAAGATTCTCCAAACCAGAAGCCCTAATAAAATTTTATCGTATTGGCTACACCATTGGGTTAAAGAAATTAGGAATAAATAACAGGAAACCGTTGGTCCGGAGCTGCTCATGTGGAGCGATGGTGTTATAAATCTAATATTCTAAGTAAGAGCAATCTGTCATTTAACAGGGTTTAAGTGAAAAGAACTATCTTATGGGAGAAGAAGATCAGAAGTTGCAGCAGCTAGTCGCGAGTGGCGTCCCAAAGGGGCGCCGACGAGCGACTAGCTGGTGCACTCGACAGTTGCATTTTGAAGGGCGTTAAATTAAAAAGATTAAACAAGAGAATGTGAAGGGGTTAGATCTGGTGAGTTTCAAAACGGACTCAAAGTGATAAAAAAGGAGAAATATTTTTGTATGCATCCTAAGACCAGTTTTTCTCGAAGAATAGAATATAGTGATAATGTATGGATGAAAAACATCATTAAAACAGTTAAATTCACTCCATCGAAAACGAACTTGAAAGGAAAAGAATTAGTTTTTCGGTTCGTATATTTTTTTGTGGATTTAGAATGTGCATTTGCTGAAGTAGATGATCAGCTAAAACAGTATATGTCTTTTTCGGTTTTGCATAAATGTATGAAAAAGAAGAGAATAATTGGAAATTGTATGTTTGTTTTCGTCTTATGAAAATATTTATCAATTAAGAGAGTCATTTGTAGTTACTATGGAATGGTTTTTGACTATTTATTAGTTAAATGTACGCGATAAGAGTGAATAAGCTATTGAATTTGGTCGTGTTTGATACTTATAAGAAAGGCTCTTTCGTGTTTTTCAATCTATCATCTGCGGAAATATATACATGGATAGGCGTGGGTCTAACATTGAGACCTGGCATTAATTTGTCATATGCTATAATTACTATTATGAAAAGTGATACTTTTATCCT